ATCTTCCATCACCAGGCAGTTGTACAATTCTGTTTGTAATTTGTTTCGTGCGATTGCCCAGAAGTCATCTAGAGGCAATGATGATCCGTCCCCTACATCATTGAATTCAATGTGAAGCCGGGTGTCTGCAGTTGCCTCCCCCTTGGGGTAATCCAAATTGCACCAACATCTCCAACTACATTGAAGTCGCTTTGCAGACCCAACAACCTGTCTTGGTGAAGAACCGTTGACATAAACCTGTCTGGACCCATAGCGCGGTATGCCATCATGTTCCGTCTCTCACGGGCAAAAACCTGCTGTCTTTGTTGGATTGATAAGCTCTGATAGGGATTGAAACCTCCAAGGCGTACCATTCCAGCGTGCTGCCATCCAACTCGTTCAGATAGACGGTCGTGATCTGCTGTAAGTCCATCGAGGTCCTCCCGGAGTCTTCCCACGACGGAGAATAATTCCGAAAGCTCACAGTTTAGGGAGCTCACTTCTTGTCTCAAACAATTGTTCTCAATGTTGACGCGGTCAAATGCTGACCCGAGTGCGGCATAATCAATTCCCTCCATGGTAGCCGCTGGTGGCAAAAATTCCAACCACTTTCGAACCACCCAAGTTGCAAATAAACTGATCACTGAGCAAAGAACTGGCAGCAACCATGACATCGAAGTGCCGTTATCTGCACATGAATTTCCTCCAGGTCCAAGGCACTCGTCCGTACTCCCGAGGTAGTCCGGTCCAGGGTTTGCTCCATCTGCTAACTGGAAGTTCATGATGCATAAACACGCCAAGGGCTGTAAGCTGGAGCACGGTGCGGCCAGTTGTTGTATCGAAGTGTAACAGCGGCGAAAAACACAGTCAATGTAGATAACTTTGTCCACAATACTGTCTAAAGTAAAAGAAAAAGGTGAAATAGGACCTGCTAAGAGACCCAATATTGGTAGAGAAATTCCACGTCGGAGTTGCAACTGGGCCAGAAATCTCCCTGAGTTGTGACGTACGAACTGCCAGCATGTCGAGTGAAAAAGGAACGAGGACCTTGGAAGGACGACGCAGCAAGATGTTCCCCACTCGTAGACAGTCGAGACCCACAATCGCGATACTCCCCGAGCCAGCTGGCTGATGTGAGATGCTATTGATACCCAGTTTCCTCGATGTTTGGCTCCACGGGACAATTACACATCCCAGCTGCAACGTGCGAGAAATGTGATAGTTCCCAAAAGCGGAAAACCAATTATGTAGGACGTGAACCACACATGAACTCCGAGGCTCTCCACAAACTTGCAAAACCACCGGCTGAAAATTGAAGTCTGCGACCCAACAGGAATACTGCTGAAAATTCGCCTCCATTAAACGATAAATGGCCACAAGGGAGCAAGTTGCCGTGCAAAAATAGGTCATCGCCCAGACATCAGTAAAAGGTTCAGCATTTGGCCAAAATTGTTCGATTGCACGTGGTTCAAATTTCAACCAGGGACCAATAAGAAGATTTGCAAATGGACATACCCGAACGATCCCCCGTGAAATGCAGTATGTCCAAAACAGGAAAATAGCTGCAAAGCGAAGTCGACCGCGGGTCGCGGTCGAAAATTTCCCTTATAAAAAGGGGTCCCTCCCTCCCACCACTTGATGGGTAATGCACCAGCAGAAAATTAATATTAACATGACCACCACTGACGTGTGTTTCAGTGTTGATTGTTCGTTTAGAAAACAGAAGCGGTCAAGAATTGTTTGTTGTTAAACTTGAGTGCAACAACAATGTTTCAGTTGCTGTTTGCAGAAGAGATTCTTTCACCACAAGACAGTTTGAAGTCGAGGACCTTTTTTGCGTGCGATACCTCACATTTTTTTTTGAGGAATAATGCTTTCATCTTTTTTCAAAAGAGTGACACCACTCTGCAGCTCGGGCTTCCATCATCAAGGCTCTGATCTCTGGTGAGACCTTTCTGATGTCCACTGTCTTGGCCACCTTCCCAGATTGAACTGTCTCCTCGGCCTCCACAATGCGCTGTGCAATGAAGGACCTCAGAAGTTCCAAGTCCAGTTCCAGATCCATGGCTCGCGCGCGTTCGAATGGGTCTTGTGCCCTTCGAAAGACGGTGAAACCGGTCCAAGCGTCTGTTTCTTCTACGTTACTTACCTTACCAGTTTCGTTTGTTTTTACATCCCCATTCCTGAAGATCTTTCTTACTGTTGCAAAAGCGCTACAGTGCAGCTCGACGTCAACACAGGCGCCACTCGAGGTCAGTGCAGTGCACATGTGACTCGACATGTGTTGCAGAACGCGTTGCATTTTAGAAATTGACAATTTGTATCACCGTTGCTGCACTGATGTAGAGTGGTAGCACTGAATGTTAATCTGACATTCACAGTTGTCGGCTGCGGCAAACAACCTCGGACACAGAGTGAGTCCAAAAGCACCGCATGACCTGTGGGCTGACTGCATGTGTAGTTGTCATTTTTTCAGATTTTCTTTGAAACGTTTCAGAGCTGTCGGGACACAACATGGCGTCAACCAGAGTTGTGCAGCTGACACATGAATTTCGTCACGTGCGTGGAGAGGCTCAGCTACTAGGGATGACAACCTGTAGTTGGCTGAACACGACATTCAAAACGTCAGTGGCGTAGGGAGTTGATGAAAACCTTATCACACCTCGTCTGAACTGAAGCACAATTTTCCATGGGACAGATTTTGACTTAGGACAACTTCAAAGTCATGGCAAACTTTGATACAACATGTGGTTTTCACTTTTCAGTTTTCAGATAGGCGTTGCTGGCAAACATGGCACTGGTTGAGAGCAGTGCGGCCTTCACCCAGAGATGCACAGAAATCGATCAGACAGGCGACTTTGGGAATGCGCTGGCAGCGCAAAACATTTCCACGTTCAGTGGCATGGCTTTCTCTTTGGGAACGCCTCGGACGCCGCCGACGGATCAGCAGTTCAACACGTTGGCACAGGCAGTCTTTGGGGCAGGAGCCACATTGGGTCAGACTTCAATGCTGAGGAGGTTGCACTTCGAATCAACAACGCTGATGATAGCCTCTGTGAAACAGAGGGTGGACAGTGAAGCAGCTGACAAGGCTGACACTGTGAAAAGGATCCCAATTGCAGAGAAGCGCTACAGACAGGAACAACAGGAGAGAAGACTCACTGGAGTCAAGATTAGCGGTGAACTTGAACCCAGCCACCAATTGCTGGACCTGGCCAACAATATTTTGGAGACGGGTGCTTTGGTTTGGATTGCCCCTAGCAGATGCACGAAGAGAGCTGATGAGGTGCAGATGGCCATCAAGGAGCGACCTTCGGCTGTGCAAGTCGAAAATCACCAACTACGTGTATCGCAGATGGCAGAGGAGTTCAAAGCAGACTATGGCAGCGAGATCAAGCTTCAATGGTGTTGGCAGAGAAGGGGGCTGGCGATGGACCAGTGCAGACTGCTGTCATGGGAAATTCATGACGCCTGGGTGCACCAGCTATTTCGCACCGTGAGCCATCCTGCACCCCCTGGGTTTCAACAAGTCAAAGTGGAACAGCTTGTGCGAGCAGACCGTGAGCTGTGGACGCTGCTTGCCCAAGATGTCAAAGGCAGTCTTAAGCCTACTCCAACAGGAGACATACCTTTCTTTGGACGCCATGGTGAGCAGATTGTGCCATGACCCGAGGATTACAATGTTCTTGCTGCCAACAACAGCTGCAGCAAGAGCAGCTGACAAGGAGGTGGTGACAAAGAAGACCACCGCCGGAGCTCCAGTGCAAGCAGCAGCAAAGAGCACGAACAAGCGAAGAAAGACCAGGGCAGAGAAAAGTTGCCCGGAGGAGCTGCGGAAGTTCAATCTGAAGTGCGAGCATGGCCCAATTTGTTGGGCATACAACCAGAAGGCGGGTTGCAAGAACTCGACATCAGGCAAGCCATCCAGGTGTGCAAAGGGATACCATGTATGCGCTCATTGCCACAAGCCGGGGCATTCAGTTGTGGTGTGCCGTGGGCTTGGCAAAGATGGGGCTTGACAAGTCTCACCCACTGGGGCCACTTTGGCCCCAGGTGGGAAGCGAAAAGCAGTCTCACAAGAGCCACAATCGAACATCGATACAAGGCTTTGCAAGAGAAGGGGTGCAAGGAGCAAACATGTCGAAGACAGTTTACAAATTGCATCTAGCACTCCACAACAAGTGGAGCCGCAGGCCAACTCGAAGAGTTCAAGGCTTGGTGAATTTGCAATGCAATACAAATCAAAGTTTGAGGGGAAGCTGCTTCATGATCTAATTTTTGTGGAGATCTGCGCAGGCAGTGCTAGACTGACCAGGGCTGCCCGCGATGCTGGTTTCAATGGAATAGCAGTGGACCACACGGACAGACGATCGTGTGGCATAGACATTTGCATATTTGAACTTGAGGATCAAGATCAGGTCGACGACCTCTGTCAGTTTCTGGAAGCAGAGGCAGACAACATTGCTGCAGTTTGGATAGCTCCTTCTTGTGGAACTGCAAGCAAGGCGCGTGAAAGACGCCTGCCTCAACTACAAAGGCTTGGCATTGCAGTGCCGGTTCCGCTGAGATCAGTGGACCAGCCGGACCAGATCGACGGCTTGGCCGATTCAGAAAAGCTCAAAGTGGAGAAGGCAAATTTGCTTTACAGTGCGGTGGAGCAGATCACTCGCACAACTTGCAGGGCCAACATTTTCACTGGCATTGAAAATCCAGGCAACAGCCATTACTGGAACACGACACCGATGGTGAACATCATGGAGGAATTTGGACGCAAGTTTGTAACATTTCACAACTGCAGTCATGGGGGGTCAAGAGACAAGTTGACCTCGATTTGGGTCAATGACGACTGGTTGGATGCGTTGGAGGCGAGATGTGACAACTCGCACAGTCACAAATCTTGGAAAGTCACAGTCGGGAAAAATTCAGTTCATTTTCCCACAGCAGAAGAGGCGGCATATCCACAGATATTATGCCAGCGCATCATTGAGTGCGTGAAGCGACAAGTCCTCAAATTGGGGGCCATGGAATCCACAACACTGGCACAGCAGGTTCAACAACCGGACGCAGATGTGGCAGGGCGCATTGCTTTGGGATCCCTGCCGCGTGGGGCAAAACTCCGCCCACTGGTGGCTGAATTTGGCCATTTTGTTGCTGTTGTGCTGCCCCCACAAAACCCGGAGACAATTGAGACCTTCATTTCGTCCCTTCCAAAAGGGTCCAAAATCACTGCACGACAACTGCGGAAACGGGGAGAGGTGCGGGTCGTGGAGGAAGAGTGCAAATTTCTTTCTGGCGTGGAACATTTGGACCATGACGACATGGTTGAACTTTGCTGGGTAGGAGTGCCAAGCACACCCGAGGACTTTGTCAATCGGGCTTACAAAGCGGGACACCCTAGAGGTCTCGATGTTCACGTTGACGAAGCGATGCGAGATGTTACCAGGGCAAACCTTTTAGACCCACCGTTTGTCTTGGCCAAGAAGAGGGCCCTATACTTGAAGAGGTGGACTGCAAGGGCCAAAGAGCTTGCAGGGGCGGAAGAACAACTCAGGGCACAGATGCCTGACCATGTTCGTGGCGTTGTGGGTCAAAAGAGGCTGGTTTTGCTTGGTGAAATGTTGTCAGACCTAGGGTACCCAGATGACAAACTTGTCAGTGACATAGCAGCTGGTTTCCGTTTGAGTGGTTACATGACACGTTCAAAAGTTTTCAGAGCAAAGTCAAAAAGGCCACCGATGTCCATGGAGACACTCAAGAAGTTGGGCAAATCGTTCAACTCAAAGAATTTTGCGTCGTTGAGCAAGCGCCAAGAGACTGAGCTGGAAGAGGCCACTTGGCAAGAGACGCAAGCAGAGCTGGAGAAAGGATGGATTTTTCTTGATGAAGAGAACGTTACAGAAGGCAAGTTTGTTGGAAAACGTTTCGGCATCCGTCAGGGGCCAAAGGTAAGGGTCATTGACGATTGCACTTGCTGTGGCCTCAACCTGACGGTCGGACTTCATGAGAAGTTCAAGCTGCATTCTGTGGATTTCCTTGCGGCGATGTTGGGATGCGCCATGAAGTTGTGCCCAGCTGAGGGGCGCCCCACATTGAAAGGCAGGACATACGATTTACGTTCTGCCTACAAGCAATTTGCGGTGCACCCTGACGACCGTGCAGTCCTCAGGATGGGTGTAAACTTGCCGGACAGTGACAAGTGTGCCATCATCGGCTTCAATTCACTGCCGTTTGGAGCAGTGGGGTCAGTGGCAGGCTTTTTGAGAGTCAGCCAGGCCATTTGGTATCTGGGCTACTTTGGCCTTGGACTTCTTTGGAGTGCCTTCTATGATGACTACACCTTGTTGTCAAGGGCGGAGCTGGAAAGAAGCAGCAGCTGGGCTTGCGAAGCTTTGTTTGACCTCCTGGGGCTGCAGTACGCAAAGGAGGGCCACAAGTGTGTGCCCTTTGACGCCAAGTTCAAAACCTTGGGGCTTGAGATCGATACTGGATCGTTTCCCGAAGGGCACATTTTGATAGGCCACACTGACAGTCGCAAAGAGGAGCTGCACGGTCAGTTAAAAGGTTTCTTGGAGGCCAACACCATGACCTACAAAGATGCCGAGCGCATGCGGGGCAGGATGATTTTCTTTGAAGGGTACACCTTCGGACGTGTTGCAAACTCAGCAGTGAAAGCCATAGGACGTTTTTGTCATGGCTCAGAACGTGCTGCCACCTTTGACTCCTCGATGAGAAGGTCCTTGCAGTTTTTGCAACAACGGGTCTTGACTGGCCGCCCTTTGAAGATTCAGCAGTCCATGCACAACACGTGGATGGTGTTTACAGACGGAGCCTGCGATCCTGAAGCTCGCTCTGGATCAGTGGGAGGAGTCATTTATGACCCGCAGGGCAATTGCTTGAAGTACTTCGGTGAGAGTGTGCCTCAGCGAGTCATGGATGCGTTGCTTGCGACCTCGCAGAACCCTATACATGAGCTTGAAGTGATGCCAATCTTGTTGGCGGCTGAGCTGTGGGGAAAGACCTATGAAGGGTCGCAGGTGGTTTATTACATCGACAATGAGTCGGCAAGAATGGCGCACATTAGAGGTGACGGAGAAACCTTGCGTGCTGCACAGATGATTCAAGCCTTTGTTGATATTGAGTCAACATGTCAGCACCGTGTCTGGTTTGGCAGGGTACCGAGCTACAGCAATCCAGCCATGGGCCCAGCCGTTTAAACTTCCTGGAAGTTTCAAAACTTGGTGCCACCAGAACCAGTATCAACTGGGAGATGGTGATGAAGCACCTTGAGTTGTGACGTGGGGCAATGGTCGGAAGGTGCTGAAGCTTTCCCCGATGAAAAAGAGTGCCGCCATTTCTTGCGTCAGACATGTCAGTTGTTTTTCATTTGTGATTTGAGAGTTTTACGTTGGCGCTTCGTTTTCGTCCGGAAATTTCCACACTTAAAAGAAACACGTGCGATTAGGTGGAGTGTAGAATAAGTTGCGAGTTTCTCTTGAGAAACTTTCTCTTATTTGCACACGCAACCATGTTTGAGCAAAACAGTTTTTAAATCTGAGTTTGCAAGTTTTTCGAAGAAACAATTTGTCAAACTTTTGTTTTGCTCATGCGCACTTGTGTTTCTTTTTCACATGTGAAATTTCAAGATCGGATGAATTTTATGTTTCGCCCGTAACATCGTCCATCAAGGGTTGGGTGGGAGGGTTTGCCCCTTTTTGTGACGGAAAATTTTCGTCTTTCCCTCCCTAGTTTTTCTTCAATTTTACCCACCCTCGAAAATATTTCCTTTGGTCTTTTAACACAAAAAGGCCACACCCTTCGGCCCTAATGGTCGGAAGGTGCTGAAGCTTTCCCCGATGAAAAAGAGTGCCGCCATTTCTTGCGTCAGACATGTCAGTTGTTTTTCATTTGTGATTTGAGAGTTTTACGTTGGCGTTTCGTTTTCGTCCGGAAATTTCCACACTTAAAAGAAACACGTGCGATTAGGTGGAGTGTAGAATAAATTTGAGGGCTTCGACAGGTTTTGGTGGTAACATTTGCGTTGTACATCATTACATTGGGGATGCTGATGAAGATAATGTCTGCCCTTGATTTAACAATAGGGCCCCCCCCCTCTCTGACCCTAAATAAACTTAAAGCCACCATAAAACTTGTTTGTAAGTAAAGGTTTTAAATTACCACAATTGAAAACGAATACATAAAATGCAATTTCAAAAAAAAGGAATCCAGCAATTGTTTTAGTATTGATCTAGTATTCATCTCATGGATTTAGTATTGATTTAGTATTCATGTCATGGATTTAGTATTGATTTAGTATTCATCTCATGGATTTAGTATTGATTTAGTATTCATCTCATGGATTTAGTATTGATTTAGTATTCATCTCATGGATTTAGTATTGATTTAGTATTCATGTCATGGATTTAGTATTGATTTAGTATCCATTTCATGGATTTAGCATTGATTTAGTATTCATGTCATGGATTTAGCATTGATTTAGTATTCATGTCATGGATTCAGTATTGATTTAGTATCCATTTCATGGATTTAGCATTGATTTAGTATCCATTTCATGGATTTAGCATTGATTTAGTATTCATCCACATGAGCCCCATCAGCCAAACCAGCCATCAACAGCCATCAGCAGCCATCAGGACAGCAGGATCAGCACAATCAGGTGGTACATTAGGTCCATGTGCTGCTGCTGCTGCCAGCTGTTGCTGCTGGTGGTGGTGGTGGTGGTGGTGGTGGTGGTTGTGCTGGGGCTGATCCCCTTCAGCCCTGGCATCACCCTGCAGGATCAGATTTGGATCAGATTCTGCATCCACCAGAGAAGAAGAAGGAAGATAAAGTGAAGGAAGCTGAAGTGAAGGAAGATAAAGTGAAGGAAGATGAAGGGAAGGAAGCTGAAGGGAAGGAAGATTAAGAACAATGAGTAGTTGGGGATCAGTTTCACATGAGGTTTCCATTAGGCAGACCAGTTTCACATTAGTCTCAAATGAGCATTTTGCTCACACATTGGAGTTTCAGATCAGTTTGACATGAGATTTTCATTAAGCAAACCCATTTCAGGTAAGCTTCACATGAGCACTTTGCTCAGAATTAGAGATCAGATCAGTTTCATATGAGCTTCACATGAGCATTTTGCTCATATAGTTTCAGATCAGTTTCACATGAGTTTTCCATTGACCAGTTTCACATAAGTCTCACATGAGCATTTTGCTCAGAATTAGAGTTTCAGATGGTGGTGGGGAAATGGCAGAACTGTGATGGGATTGCATGAGTAGGGGCATCCAGGGGGATAGGATTGAGAAGGATTTGATAGGAGGAGAGGATTGAGAAGAAATTGGTAGGAGGATAGGATTGATCATGCAGCCTTCCATGTAGCTTCCCATGCAGCCATCCATACAGTCCTCTATGCAGCTGCTATCAGCATCAGATCAGAGTAGTGATCAGCATCCATATCGAGACAGCAATCAGTCGCCATCAGTTCCTTGAATGAAATGCACATTTTTTTGTAGTCCATGCGTGCATGAATATTTTTTTTGACTCCAGAGGTGCATTTTTTTGGAATCTATTTGTAGTTGCTTTCAGGCTGGGGATGAAGCAGGATCAGCGCCTTGCAGTGATCTTTGCAGTTGCTGTGCTTGCAGCTGGCATTGGTGGAGCCTACATCAGTGAGGCTAAGATCCAGATGCAGAATCTGAAGGCAGTGATGATCAGTGATGGCATGGAGATGGTGCCTGGGCTAAATCAATTTGAACATGTGCATGTTGATATGACATAATGATACCAAAAGGGGATGACAATTCCATCAATCATGATATATATATATATACATATGTGAGTATAATTATGTATGTACATATAATTATATATATATATGTAATTATTTAAATACATCAACCATAATATAAATAATGATATGGGTATATGTATATATATATATATATATATATATGTAATTACATGCACACTTCTGCATGTAACTATATATTCACATTGAGCCAGCCAGTTCTGCAGGTGAAGGTGGCATTCATGCTCTTCATTGTGTGGAAGATGCAGAAGATCCAGAGCCTGATGAAGTCCATGGATGATTCAGCATGGACATGTGCCCAAAAGTGCAACTACATGGAGAGACGAGCCTGGGTGAAAAAAGCAGTGGTGCTTATAAATATATATTTATATACATATAATTATATACATAATTATATCTTTATATATATATATACATGAATATATAGATATATTATACATATATATCTTTACACACATATATATATACACATGTTTATATATGTATACCTATATATAATTATATATATATAAACAATAATGTGGTTAATTAGTATTAATTAGGTATACTTTTCAAACTTAACCCCCATTTGTTTTCATGTTTATTTCTTTTTTGTTGCTGGGGGCTTTGAGCAACCATCAGGAATGGAGAAACAAGGATCACAATTCAGTGATACCATGAGGCACATGAGTAACATCCTGGAGACGACCTTTGGAATGATTAATTAGATGGTAGCTTTTTGTTTGGATTTTGTTTTTGTTTGGTTCTGTTTCTGTTTTGTTCAATTAGGCTTGCATGTGTTTTGCATAAGTGGCCTGCTTACAAGCAAATCAGGTATGATGAGCAGAAGGGTGATTCAGCAATTCTGGAGCAGATGATTGCCAATCAGAAGCCCAGATTCAAGCTGGGGTCGACAAGCCACCCAGCTGTAGTTCAAAGGGTTTAGAGTGGGTTTAGAATGCACATGTCATTTACCATCAGTGCAAACAATTAAATACATGTGCATTACATTTGCATTACATGTGCATTACATTTGCATTACATGTGCATGACAACATTTGCATTACATTTGCATTACATTTGCATTAAATGTGCATTACATGTGCATTACATTTGCACTACATTTGCATTTGATTTGCATTACATGTGCATTACATTGGCATTACATTTGAATTACATTTGCTGAACACCTGTTTGGAACTGGCTTTGATGAGTCATTACCTAGCGCAAGCTATGCGCCTAGTTTGACATCCGAAAGGGCAGTGGAGTGTAATTTTCTGGACAGCCTCTCTAAACCTGTTGGGCAGAAGAGGAACCATGAAGGGCGTGCAATTGAGGCACCCAAGTCATCCCAATACAAGGACAGGATCGCTCAACAAGTTTTTGATGCAACTCTGGTTTTGGGGCGCAATGAAAGACCGAGTTTTCAACTACAAGTTGGACTGCCTAAACTGGATTTGGTGTCAGACTTGTTCAAATTGCCGGTGCTGGGAAGACTGGCGCATATTGAAGATGCAATGCAGAACGACGCAGTGAATCGACAATCTACTGTGAGTCCCGGGGTTCCAATGCCTTTTGCTCAACGCAGACTCCTGACGGCTAAGCTGGCCAAGTCAGACGATGCCTTGCTGACTTCTGCACTGAGGAAGTTGCGCAACTTGGTGTTGTATTGGCCAGAGGACAGCCGGCTGGGGCGGACTCTTGTCTCTGCGGCAGGTGCAATTGTGGGTGAAGACATTTTACAACAGTCCATTAAGGATTGCTTTGCTGGAAAGGCTGTGGCTACGCTGGTTAAAAGATCTGCTGATTACACACGCTTTGCAGAGTGGATGCTCAGGACTGGCCGAGGCCGACCGCTCAACCCGACTGAGACAGACATCTATGCATACATCTCAGAACTACGAGAGAGCGGAGCGGGGGCCACCTCGGGTGAGTCATTTATTTCAGCATGGCGATTCATGGTGCACACAGTGGGGGCTGGCAACTCCAAAGAGGAAAACCTGATCTCAGGTCGTGTCACTGGAGCTGCCAAAGACCTGGTGTCCAAAAAGAGGAAGTTGACACAAGCTCCCCCTTTGACTGCTGACATCATTTGGAAGCTGGAGGGTATGATGACGTCTCCCTTCTCCGCAAAGATCAAAGCCATTTTGGGATTTATGCTCTTTTGCATATATTCATGCTGCCGCTTTGGTGATGGAGCTCGAGCCCAAGAACCTACTTTATCCCAGTTCCAACACATCATCTTGGTTGAAACCGCTTGCGCAGAGTACAAGACGGCGACGGGTGAGAGAAGGGCAGTGCTCCTGCCTTTGGTGGCATTAGGGTCTGGCTTGAGTGGGACAGGTTGGGCCCTGTCATGGATGGCAGCTCGACGGGCTTGTGGCTTGGCGGGCAGGGGTCTGATGATGCCTGCAGACTCCGAGACACATGACAGGTGGCTGGACCGTCGCATGACCACCGCAGAGGGTTCCTACTGGTTGAAAGACCTTTTGGTGATGGCAGGGCTGAGTGAAGTGGAAGCGGAGAGGTTTTCCACCCACTCTCTCAAGTCCACGTTGCTCAGCTGGGCGGCTAAGTCGGCCACTTTTGACTGGCAGGAGCGGCTCATTTTGGGACACCATCTGGATGAGGAAACTCGAATGGCCGTGACCTATTCCAGGGATGCCATTGCCGCAACCATGATTAAGGTCTACCGTATGCTCGAAACAGTGAGACAGGGTATCTTTGATCCTGATGCAAGCCGCGCAGAGCGAATTGCAATGGCGACTGGAATGCCCAACTTGTCAGTCCATTTACCCGAAAAGAACGAGCTAGAGCACGAGCTGGAAGAGCGCTTGCAGAAAGACTATGAACAGGCTGTGCTGCCGGAGTCAGACTTGGAAGACGATGGAAGCAACGTTGAGCCTGTGAAGATTCCAGGGGAGGCCAAGCTTGTGGCCCGTTCCAACTTCCCTCCGGTGGACAGCGAGCACTGTGTAGTGCATAGGCTGTCAGGGATAGTCCATTGCAAGGAAACTTCAGCCAGCTTGCTTTGTGGCCGTCCTCTCTCACTGAACATGGTGCCAGTGAACTTTCCTTGGGAAGACAAGGAGGCTCATGAATTTTGTGAGCAGTGCAATAGAGCCATTTACCGTTAAGCTTGAACAGAGAAGAGGGAAAACACCTTGCGCTTGGTGAACTGCCAGCGGTGAAGTCGTGAAATGTGGCTATTTGGTGTTGGGCACACAACATGAGTTGCAGTAAAATTGCAATTGAAGAAATGTATGTTGTGCGCTGGCTCAGAGAAGGGTTCAAGCTGAAAGAACAATCAGACAAAACCCGTGATCTTTCCATTGGCGTTTTGTTTCAATGGTATCATCCATTATTTCTGCCTTGGCAACTGAAACATGTGACAACTTGAGGTACCCTTGAAACAAACGAAACCAAACCTTGTAACAGACGCGACGTTCTGACGGTGATGGTTCTGCTTATACTTTTGACTCGAGTTTTGCATAAGTAATTAATGGGATTTGGTGTCATGGCCCTTTTTCCAATCCTTTTTGCCTTCTGAGTGCTGCATTGCAAAGACGGCTTCCATGGAGTCGACTGCCAGCTTCAAGTCACGGGCTAGCGAGATTGGGATGTCAGGAGATTTAATTTCCGGACTGATTGACGGAGGCGTTGACACGTTTGGAAAACTAGCATACATATGCAGTGTTAGCCCGACTTCAGGTGACGATGGTCCCCTCAAGGAGGCCTTGACTAGCATACTGACAGGTGGCGTCGTCTTAACGCCGCAGGAAATGATTTTGATGAGGAGATTGTGGTTCGAGTCTTACACCTTGACAGTGACTGAGTTGACAAATAAACTGCAGAAGAACCCTAGTGACACGCCAAAGTCCATTCCACTTGCGGAGCGATTGGTTAGGATAGATGAACAAAAGGAACGCCTCAAAGGGCTTGTCTATGACCAATTTTTGGAGCCTGCCCACTCACTGACGGACCGTGTACAATCGATGCTGGAGGATGGGGTCGTTACCTACTTAACACCTGAAAAATGTGTTTCGCGGCACGATGAGATTCAGAGCAACAAAAGTGAACAGCAGTTGTGCTTCGATTCACAGGGCAATGTCAAAGTAACCAAAACAGAAAGCCAGTTGAGCTGTGACGTAACAGGTGAATTGCGGTTGCGCCAGTGCCTTACCCGAAAAGCTCTTGCATTTGATCAGATCAAGTTGTGTTCATTCGATGTGATGGAGACTTGGCACAATTCTATGGTGCAGGCCTTGATGCGCAAACCACCTGCAGGTCATCGTTACGTTACTGTCCAGCAAATCTTGTCAGCAGACAAGGAGTTGTGGAACCTTTTGTCGCAGAACACGCGCGGGAAGCTCAGGGTATCGATTGGTGAGCCACCAGCCTTGGACTCAGAAATCAAGGTGCTGATGTCCTCACCTGCTGTCCTGTGTTTCATGACTCCTTTGCATGGTCAGACGCAGAAAACAGAAACCCCCAAGCCGGTGTTGCATCCTGCACCAAAGCCCGGTCCACCGAAAGGGGAGTCCAAAGGCAACAACCGACAGCCTGGGGCCAAGAGGAAGCACGAAGGGGCTACAACTGTCAAAGAGCTTTTGCAGAACATGCCGACCGACTGCACGTCGAAGACTGAGCAAAACAAGTTCATTTGCTTGCACTACAACAACGGCACATGCAAGAAACAGAAAGCTTCTTCATGCAACATGGGGCTCCACGTGTGCTATTACAAAGGGTGCGGCAAAAAGCGGCCGTACATTGAGTGCGAACACTGACCAAGCAACTGACAGTGCGCAGAGCCACGGACAGAATCATTGCCGGATGTTGCAGTCTCTGACGAGCTCTGTGCAGGTTGTGCAAATTTTGTCGTCGAAGCTTCGAGGGAAGCATTTCAGACGTTTGCAAATGACCATGAATTAAATCGTTTTGCGACCAAGTCCAAAATTTTTCTGCTTGATCCGTCGAAGGATGAATACAGGCAGACGCTTTCAGCAAAGGGTCACAACACGAGGCCCAATTGTACAAACATGAGCGTTCCAGCTGGTACAGCGTTGGGGTCGGACAATTTGACAGAGTTGAAATGCAATTTTGACGAGATTTTGGGCAATTTCGGGCTTTGCTGACAAAGAATGAAGCGATGCAGTGTACGCTGACTTGTGTTTTGGCTTGACGGATACTACTTGGACTCGCACCCCACAGCTGATGAGCAACCAAGCTCACAAAAAGACCCTGGAAACCACTCACTATGTGTTCCGTTTTGGTCCACTACAACGTGCTCACAGGAGTGCCGTGGGAAATAATCCATACTCCGCTCAGCCAAGTCTCATTCCTGAGACTGATGCCCTTAGAATCATTGCACAGCCTTCAACTGCAAGGGGGAAACAACCGAGGCTATGCAAGAAACGTGGGGACTATGCCACACAATGTACAATTACAAGACAACATGGGGTTACATTCTTCACTGGTAGATTCATATTTCACTGGTAGGACACTGTGATTGATCTTTACGGGAATCTGAGCTTTACAGCTGAGACACCCATCACTGGAATCTAAGGTGGCACCAGACTTTTTGAACAGACAAATCACCAGACTTTTTGAACAGACAAATTGCGGAGAAATTTACTTGACTGCTGCTCGACGGGAACACACGCCATTTCGCAGAGGGAGGGTGCTGGCCTCAAAGAGGTCACGAAACTGAAGCTAGAATTGACGGCAGGCCAGAAGCGATTGCGACAGGGCACTGAGCCTCACGTCGATACGGATTGGAAGATGAATTGACCTTAGCATAGTCTGCAAACCCACTGCAATCTGTTTCCCTGCTCTTGGGGTCACTTGAGCCGGTATACTTCACCAACAAGATAAGCAGAGGCTTTGGACACTTTCTGGTTCATCAGTTGGTCCTTTGACAAGCCCCGCTGCGTGACCGCATAATGGAGCAGATCGGGCACATGACGGCGATTCAACGAGGATCGTTTCCTGACGCAATGTTTATGGTTTCACTTTGGAGCTTGTTGGATATGGCCTTACCTTCTAGCGCTTAGTGTGAGATGGTACTAAGCGCCTCAAACCCTGCAGCTCTCTCTCCTGAGGGATAGCCGAAGAACTTTGTAACATACTAGGGGCGACTGCCTATAGAGAATAGCCCTGCCAAGTTACTGACTGAGTCTGTCGAATGCCCCATTTTCGGTTGGGCTGGCTGTGTTGGTTGAGCTGGAGCAGTTCGAAACAAAACGCAAAGGCTGCGACAAGGGGGGAGAAAACAAGCCTTTACTTTGTTTGCGGGAAAAGATGGAGGAAACGCAATTGAGTCGCTACACGTGATCGAATAGCGTGGATGCGACGTGAAATGTTCCCTGTCCGAAGCAGCAAACAGAAACGGATGATTTTCCCCCGACACGCCGTGACAAAAAGGAAGGGCCGACCCAACTGAAAGCCACTGTGTCGAATTTTCCAATTGCATTTCTCAGATGTCGTTCGGTGAAGCAGTTTGCTGTATTTGCGTACGATTTTCATGAGATTTAATATATTAATATGGTTCAGTTTGCGCGTATACCCGAGCATGTAATACTGCCACGCATTACATGGTAAGCTACTTTTGTCACCCACTGTACATATGCGCAACCCAAAACCTGACAACACTGGTACCGACAAGAGGGCGTTAGAAACGTAAAGGCTCAGCGTGCTGATCCTGCTGTTTCTTAGTGCCCGGTGTAGGGTCAATGACCCGAAACGCACTTGTTGGTTCCTCTTATGTGTTGGTTTGTGGTTGTGCTTTGTGGGTGCGTGGCTTATCTGCGTGGCTGGTGATTCTGTGCTGTGATTGCTTGGCAGGCGCTTAAACCTGTCTTCTTGAGACCCTCACTTGACTTTGTCTGACGCTTTACTTTGTGTTGTGAAGGGTTCCTGAAATGAACACTGAAACAAACAATCGTGAACCATGCGGTAGTGATGTGCACACTTATTGTTTGTGTGGTGATCCGATGTTTGTTACGGTGAAACTGTTTAACTCACACCTTTTATCAACCGAAATTCCAGCACTCATGTTTTGAGATCACAGATGAATTTCACCACTCCGACTTTTATCATCCCAAGAAAGGGTAGGGAGGGTGGGTGCTCAATAAAATTTTGAGCACTGATTGTAGCTGAAATTTCGCTCTCCCACCCAAATGAACATCCCACCCTGGGAGAAAACAAGCCTTTACTTTGTTTGCGGGAAAAGATGGAGGAAACGCAATTGAGTCGCTACACGTGATCGAATAGCGTGGATGCGACGTGAAATGTTCCCTGTCCGAAGCAGCAAACAGAAACGGATGATTTTCCCCCGACACGCCGTGACAAAAAGGAAGGGCCGATCCAACTGAAAGCCACTGTGTCGAATTTTCCAATTGCATTTCTCAGATGTCGTTCGGTGAAGCAGTTTGCTGTATTTGCGTACGATTTTCATGAGATTTAATATATTAATATGGTTCAGTTTGCGCGTATACCCGAGCATGTAATACTGCCACGCATTACATGGTAAGCTACTTTTGTCACCCACTGTACATATGCGCAACCCAAAACCTGACAACACTGGTACCGACAAGAGGGCGTTAGAAACATTTGCATTAATCTACATGGATCTAATCTACATGTTTTAATTACATGCTGGGGACTTGGGGCACTTCCTGCCATCACTTAGGTGAGACCTATGCAGCAGAGTGGGACATGACCATCAGGACATGCCTGCTCAATGCCAAGCTGCAGACCCAGCAGCTTAGATGCAGCAATTGTGGGGATCATGCACATGCATGCATGTCTATAGATATATAATTAGATCATTGTATGAAAATATATATAATTATATACACATGTATATATATATGTATATATATATGTATGTATATACAATTATATTTATGTATATATATACACATGTATATATGTATATGTTTAAACTTATATGTATGTATATATATATATATGCATATACACACATACACATATACATATATATATATATACATATATATACATGTATACAATTATATGTAATTATATATATGTATACATTTATATATGTATAAATTATGTATATATATATATATATATCAGCCTAAGTTTAGGCATGCAGAATTCCATGAGTGTGCCCATCAGGTATCAGCAGCTCATCAGGAAGGTATGCAGCAAGGATGCAGATGAAGCAACTTCAAAGCAACTCAACCCAATCAGTGGGGCCTGGGGAGGGGGAAGCACCATCAACCACCATCCAAGCATGCATGGCCCAGGTATGAAGAGATCATGAAGAAGAATGCCAACCGAGATGAGTGGGTGATGAGCCAGCATCATCCAGCAGCTAGTCATGCATCTAGAGTGAAAACCATCTTGGATTCAGAGGTTTTGATTTACATTCTTTCTGATTTTAAGCTGATCAAGCTGATCAAACTCAATCACTTTCTTGGGAGATGTTGATTTCAATTGTTCATTTTTTTGCATCCTCAGGACCAGGATGATGCAGATCTCTTGTCCATGTGCCCTCCATGGAGCAACCTCAAGATGACCTATGGCAACATCAAGGCCAGGTACGATCAGCTGCAGATACTTGGCAGCCAATCAGTTGTCAGGTAATTAGTAATAAGGTTGCATCAGGTAATTAGTAATTACTGTAATTAGATTTTGTTCCTTTGACCCATTTTTTTTCTTCCCATCAGCTTTCATGACCAGCCAGCCACCAGACCATCATCAGCCACCACCAGCCACCACCATCACAAGCCATCAGGAAGTTGTATGAGCACTTCAAGGTGGAGATGAGCCCATGGGAGATGAAGGTTCCATCCAAGCGCAGCTGGGACATTGAGAGGGAGATTGAGAAGATTAAGGGATTGACCCTTGGTTTCAATTAGTGTTGAAAGCAATGATCAAGAGATAGATCTATATGAAAATATAATCAAGTGTATACTTATAAGTACTATGTATGAGTATACAGCTACATGTAAATATACAAGCATATAGTCCAACAAACACACATAATTTCACATATATATATACACATTTATGTGTACACATTTCTTGATTTATACTTGTGTTTAATTATGTATATATGCATGTACTTTTGCACATAATTACATGTATTTACACATGTATATATAAGTATATATATATGTACATGTACTTGTGCATATATTTATCTGCAGTTATGTATAATTATAATTACATAAATCTCTTCACATATGCATGCACATCTATGTATACTTATATGGCACCTCATTGCCCCCAGGAGAGGAGATCCCAAATGAGGGTGGCATGAGAGGCATCAGCCCTAGATAGAGACTGCTGTGAAGCTCTATTTGAAGCTTCCTGGACCTTGCCAAAAGGTTTGCAGCTTCCTGTGGGTGGGGGCATGGCCATGGAAGATGAGTTGAAGATGAGATGTAATTAGGTAAGATACACATGGTTGCAAAATATATACATCAAACACATAAGGTGCAGGTAAATTGCATTGATGGTAAGCCACATTTAGTGTAAATCAAAGTTAGAAGATGATTGAGCTTGATCAGCTTGAGTTCAACTTGGGCATGAGCAAAACCATGCTTGTGTTTTTGCAGTGCTGAAGATTTCAGCTTCAACAAAATGTAGACTTTTTGATGCATTCACTACAAAGCTATAGCACACAACCACCACATGGAAAGCACCAGTGCAGCATGAGTTGGATGAAGCAATCATGACAACCAATCATGACAACCACCACATTCAGCCAGTTTTGAACCATGAGCAGAGTTTTTCATGGATTGGGATGAGAAGCTCTCTGGGCAGGAGTGACTGGGATGGGAGGGGATGGGATGGGATTCTTAGTGAGCCATTGGTCCGTTATTTAGTTGCAGTGGAACCCATGAAGCATGCAGCTACTTTCATGTCCAGCCACCCAAACAATCACCAGGAGTAAAGCATGAAGGCAAAGAAAGCATCTGTGAAAGATGCAGTGGATCAGGACTGGTTGCTGGGGTTGGGAGCAGGAGGATTAACTCTATTCAGGGTCAGGAACTATTTGGTGCAAGGGCCATCCATGAGGGTTAGCATTGATGAACTAATTTTTGATTGATTGTGGATAGGTTTTTCATATTGGTTTTTGATTGTAGATGGACAAGTATATTTTCATGATTTACTATTCATAGTACTTGTAAAGAGATATACCCTTAATAAAGCTAAGGCTTGTTGAGTAGGTTTTGCCATAGGAATGGAAAATTAAGTAGCTCTATTGAGGGGCAGCCATTATTGGAGGGAACCCAACATCCAACCCTTGATCCATCAATCATGGATAGTAGCTCTATTTAAAAAGCATACCCTTTATAAAGCTAAATATTTCCATCTAGCTTGGGTCATTAGCTCTATTGAGGGGCAGCCTTTATTAGAGGGAACCCAGCATCAGCATTCAGCTCAGCATGCCCAGGACCATGGAAAGAAAGAAAGGAAGCATCTGTGGTAGATGCAGTGCAGGACTGGCTGGTGGAACTTTATTCAGGGGTAGGTATAAATTAGTGTAATTGATAAAGTTCATCTTTGGATTTGGCATTCATTAGCTTTCTAATGGATCATTTTCTTTTATGGATAATTATTCAAAAAGTATACCCTTTATAAAGCTAAAGAATTCCATCTAGCCTGGATCATTAGCTCTATTGAGGGGCAGCCTTTATTAGAGGGGATCCAGCATCAGCATTCATCAGGATCAGTTTCTTTTATGGATAATTAATTAATTCATTATGCTTAGTTTTTCAAAAAACATAATTAACCTTTATAAAGCTAAAGGTTTCCATCTATCCTGGATCATTAGCTCTATTGAGGGGCAGCCTTTATTAGAGGGGATCCAGCATCAGCATTCAGCTCAGCATGCCCAGGACCATGGAAAAAGAAGAAAGAAAGCATCTGCACTGGATGCAGTGGAGGACTGGCTACTGGGGCTGGTGGGACTTTATTCAGGGGTAGGTATAAATTAGTGTAATTGATAAAGTTCATCTTTGGATTTGGCATTCATCAGCTTTCTAATGGATCATTTTCTTTTATGGACAATTATTCAAAAAGTATACCCTTTATAAAGCTAAAGAATTCCATCTAGCCTGGATCATTAGCTCTATTGAGGGGCAGCCTTTATTAGAGGGGATCCAGCATCAGCATTCATCAGGATCAGTTTCTTTTATGGATAATTAATTCAGAAAGCATACCCTTGAATACAGCTAAAGAATTCCATCTAGCTAGGAGCATTAGCTCTATTGAAGGGCAGGCAGCCTTTATTGGAGGTAAAGCTAGCACCATCCATTAAAGTAGCAGCATGTCCCAAGAAGTATTAGACAAAGACATATTGGCATGAGTGCTTCATTATGTAGCCATTAGTGCTCATAGAGATCACATTGCCTTTGCATTTCTAGCCATGTTGGGAGCCATCAGCTTAGTGGTGGCATTCATTTGTTTGTGCATCAGCTTTTGGGTCATCAGGGAGCTCTATGAGATCAAGGAACTCATCAAGCAAGTCATCATGCATGTCATCAAGATTGGCAATCAAGCTGAGGAAGGAGCACATCAGCCAAAAAGAGATGCAGATCAAGATGATGATGAGACCAATGATGATGGACTTGCATGGGGATCAGAGACTGATGAGGAATTTCTAGAAGATCAAAGATCAGTCGACCTTACAGAGGACCAGAAAGAGAGAAGAAATGAGTACAGGATGAGAAAGGGACATGTAGTTATAGCAGAGCACACATTTCCATCAATGTAATGAGAATAGGACAGCAGCTTTGCAGTTTGGAGAAAAAAATCAATGGGACCTGGGCTTGGGACCTAGCTTTATTCAGGGTCAGACTCTAATTAGTGCTAAGGCACCTCATGGGGGGTACCCTTGCTGAGTTGATTTGGGGTTGATTTTGGAGAAGTTTAAGTAAAGGTTTTGAATAGAATCTCAATCCATGATTTTTGACATTTTCCAACTATCAAGGTAAGTTCTAATCATCAAGTTATACCATTGGAAGCTTACCCCAAATAGAGCTAATGAACCACAAGATCAAGGAATGTCAATCCAGCAACACTTAGCTCTATTCAAGGTCAAACATTGTTTGGGGGATCAGCCAGCAGCATCCCATGCCCAGGAGGGAATTCAGAAAGATGAAGAGACAGCATCTCCAGCAAATGGAGAGGATGAGGGCTGGATGATCAGGGGAAGGGGGAAGATGCAGTAGCTTTATTCAGGGTCAGACTCTAATTAGTGCTAAGGCACTCCATGGGGGGTACCCTTGCTGAGTTGATTTGGGGTTGATTTTGGAGAAGTTTAAGTAAAGGTTTTGAATAGAAATGCTATCCATCATTTTTGAAAATTTCCAGCTATCAAGGTAAGTTCTAATTAATCATCAGGTTATATCATTGGAAGATTACCCCAATTATATTTAGCTTTATTCAGGGTTAGACTCTAATTAGTGCTAAGGCACTTCATGGGGGGTACCCTTGCTGAGTTGATTTGGGGTTGATTTTGGAGAAGTTTAAGTAAAGGTTTTGAATAGAAAGATCATCCATCATTTTTGAAAATTTCCAACTATCAAGGTAAGTTCTAATCATCAAGTTATACCATTGGAAGCTTACCCCAAATAGAGCTAATGAACCACAAGATCAAGGAATGTCAATCCAGCAACACTTAGCTCTATTCAAGGTCAACCATTTTTTGGGGGATCAGCCAGCAGCATCCCATGCCCAGGAGGGAATTCAGAAAGATGAAGAGACAGCATCTCCAGCAAATGGAGAGGATGAGGACAGGATGATCAGGGGAAGGGAGCAGTTCAGTAGCTTTATTCAGGGTCAGGTATAAATTAGTGCAATTGATTAAGTTCATGTTTGGATTTGGCATTCATCAGGATCAGTTTCTTTTATGGAAATTATGCTTTGTTTTTCAGAAAGCATAATTACCCTTTATAAAGCTAAAGAATTCCATCTGTCCTGGATCATTAGCTTTATTGGGGGTCAGCCTGTATTAGAGGGTTGCCTGCATTGGAGGTGTAATTATGTTCAGACATTAGGCTCAAAATCAGCAAAACATTTGATAGTTTCAATCACCAATGGAGAGAGCATCCATGAGGGAGGTACTTCATCGATGCAGTGAAGGTGAAGGTCATGAAGATGCAGAATCAGAGAAGCTGACCAATGATGATGAAGTAGATGAATCACCAGCCCAGGTATGCAGAAATCTGGAATATATTTTTGATCAGCAAGTGCAACATCAGCAAGATCAGCAAAGATACTATGCAGGCCTATATACAGCCCTGCTGCAGATTAAGGATCAGAAGATGATCACAGATGAAGCTGCAGCCTTCATAGGATTATACATAGGTCTAGGCAAGGCAGATCAGTATTTTGCAGTCTGCCACCAGGGCAGCTGGCATCAGATTGCAGGATTAGCTGATACTGGATTCTCTAGGAGGTGGAGCCTAAAGGGGTGGATCATAAAGTATGCACCACCAGGCACCATGAAGGTGATTCAGCATCACCCATTAGTGCTGGAAGAAAATTTCTTTGGTCTTGGCATCGAGCCAAGTGATCATGATGATGAAAATGATGAAAATGAATCTGAATCAGAACCAATGAGTTCAGATGAGGATTTCTATTTAGATTCTGACCTGTTCTGATCAGCTTTTGGTCAAAAAGAATTGGTTGGTGATAAGTTGGATTTAGTATTCATGTCATGGATTTAGTATTTGGCCAGATAATGAGTTTATATCATTGGAAGATTACCCCAAATAAAGCTAGCTTTATTCAGGGTCAGACTCTAATTAGTGCTAAGGCACTTCATGGGGGGTACCCTTGGTGAGTTGATTTGGGGTTGATTTTGGAGAAGTTTAAGTAAAGGTTTTGAATAGGAAGATTATCCATGATTTTTGACATTTTCCAACTATCAAGGCAAGCTCTAAGGATTAGTTTAAATCATTGGAAGCTTACCCCAAGTAGAGCTAATGAAGCACAAGATCAGGGATAGCCAATCAAGCAGCACTTAGCTCTATTCAAGGTCAACATTTTTTTGGGGGATCACCCAGCAGCATCCCATGCCCAGGAGGAGATTCAGAAAGATGAAGAGAAAGCATCTCCAGCAAATGGAGGGGATGAGGACAGGGTGATCATGGGGAGGGGGCAGCTCAGTAGCTTTATTTAGGGTCAGACTCTAATCAGTGCCAAGGCACTCATAGGGGGTACCCTTGATGAGTTGTTTGGGGTTGATTTTGAGAAGTTTAAGTAAAGGTTTTGAATAGAAATATTGTCCATCATTTTTGAAAATTTCCTGCTATCAAGGTAAGTTCTAATCATCAAGTTATATCATTGGAAGCTTACCCCAAATAAAGCTAGCTTTATTCAGGGTCAGACTCTAATTAGTGCTAAGGCACCTCATGGGGGGTACCCTTGGTGAGTTGATTTGGGGTTGATTTTGGATAAGTTTAAGTAAAGGTTTTGAATAGAAATATTGTCCATCATTTTTGAAAATTTCCTGCTATCAAGGTAAGTTCTAATCATCAAGTTATATCATTGGAAGCTTACCCCAAATAAAGCTAGCTTTATTCAGGGTCAGACTCTAATTAGTGCTAAGGCACCTCATGGGGGGTACCCTTGGTGAGTTGATTTGGGGTTGATTTTGGAGAAGTTTAAGTAAAGGTTTTGAATAGAAAGATCATCCATGATTTTTGAAAATTTCCAACTATTCAGGCAAGCTCTAATCATCAGTGTATACCATTGTAAGATTACCCCAAATAAAGCTAATGAAGCACAAGATCAGGGATATCCAATCCAGCAGCACTTAGCTCTATTCAAGGTCAACCATTTTTTGGGGGATCAGCCAGCAGCATCCCATGCCCAGGAGGGAATTCAGAAAGATGAAGAGGCAGCATCTCCAGCAAATGGAGGGGTTGAGGACAGGATGACCAGGGGAAGGGGGCAGATCAGTAGCTTTATTCAGGGTCAGACTCTGACCAGTGCCAAGGCACTTCATGGGGGTTACCCTTGGTGAGTTGATTTGGGGTTGATTTTGGAGAAGTTTAAGTAAAGGTTTTGAATAGAAATATTGTCCATCATTTTTGAAAATTTCTTGCTATCAAGGTAAGTTCTAATCATCAAGTTATATCATTGGAAGCTTACCCCAAATAAAGCTAGCTTTATTCAGGGTCAGACTCTAATTAGTGCCAAGGCACCTCATGGGGGGTACCCTTGGTGAGTTGATTTGGGGTTGATTTTGGATAAGTTTAAGTAAAGGTTTTGAATAGAAATATTGTCCATCATTTTTGAAAATTTCCTGCTATCAAGGTAAGTTCTAATCATCAAGTTATATCATTGGAAGCTTACCCCAAATAAAGCTAGCTTTATTCAGGGTCAGACTCTAATTAGTGCTAAGGCACCTCATGGGGGGTACCCTTGGTGAGTTGATTTGGGGTTGATTTTGGAGAAGTTTAAGTAAAGGTTTTGAATAGAAAGATCATCCATCATTTTTGAAAATTTCCAACTATTCAGGTAAGCTCTAATCATCAGTGTATATCATTGTAAGATTACCCCAAATAAAGCTAATGAAGCACAAGATCAGGGATATCCAATCCAGCAGCACTTAGCTCTATTCAAGGTCAACCATTTTTTGGGGTATCAGCCAGCAGCATCCCATGCCCAGGAGGGAATTCAGAAAGATGAAGAGAAAGCATCTCCAGCAAATGGAGAGGATGAGGACAGGATGATCAGGGGAAGGGGGCAGCTCAGTAGCTTTAATCAGGGGCAGCTCATGAGTTTAAAACATTGGAATTTTAATTACCCCAAATAAAGCTAATGAACCACAAGATCAGGTATTGCTAGGCCTTAACTTTATTCAAGGCCCAGCCTTATTTGGGGATAAAGCACTGGAACTATTTCAATCCTTCACCCTCTGCTGCAGCAAGGACATGGATGCAGCTGCCATCATTGCAAGAGCCAAGATGCAGGCAGCTCAGATTTTGCGTGATGCAGAGCAGAGGGCAGCAGCATTGTCAGTTCCAAAGCAAATTGTCAAGAAGCCTTCAGATCAGTTCAAGACACCAGATAGACCAACATCCAGCGTAGTTTCACCAGTTTCAGAAACATCATCCAAACAACCAAAGCAATATGGTTTGGTGAATTTTTTTGGCACAGCCAAGCAGAAAGAGGAAGCCAGCCCCATCCCCCATCCTAGCAGAGAAAGAGATCAAGGTATCTCCAAGAGTCACGCAATCAAAGGCAATGAAAGATTTAATGAAGCAAAAAGAAGAATATGAGAAATTTTTGGAAGCACAGCAGCTTGAGAATGCAGTGGATGAGACAGATGACTATATCAGAAAAAAACAATCAAGAGGAGGCAGAAAAAACGAGAGGGATAGAGGCAGCACTTTGACCAGACATTCCAACAGGAGGAAAGAGGGAGCAAAGGAAAGAAGGATTGAGTTTGGAGCATATGAGAAGATGAAGATGTGTGATGACATTGAGCAGCAAAGAGAGTCCTTCTCAAGGGAAGATGAGCCCTGGGCCCATATGAGAAAAGTATATGGAGTTACAGTTCAAAGGCTGAAAGATATCTATGCCAAGAGGGAGCAATGGATCAAGCTTGTCAAAACCAACAATCTAGGTACCAATAGAGGAGCAAAGAGAGGGAAGAGGAGAAAAGTCAAAAATGCAAAGATAAGATCTGCTGGAGGTGGGAGAAAAAGAGAGTATCAGGAGCAGATCAGCAAGCTGAAGGGATGGCTCCAGCAAGAAAGGTCATTTGGCCACAACATCTCAAAAAGAGAGTTGTTATCAGAATTCTGCTGCTACTTGGTTCAGTATGCCAAAGATCTTCTGAGCCAAGCTGATCAGATGGCAGCAGCAGACAGCCCTTTGATGCAGGCCAAGGTGAAGCTGATGAGAAAGGAAGCAGATGCAGCAATGGAGAGGAAGAAGAAGTTGATGAATGGGAGCACTTCCTATGGCAGGAACTATACAGACAAGCTTATAGAATGGATAGGAGCATCCTACATGCAGAAGGAGCTGTCACATAAGCTGTCTGCCATTGAGTCAAAAGCCAGGGCTCAGCTGACATATCAAGGCATTGACAGGATCATCTGGTTAATGGGAGCAGCTGATGAGGCAGCTTTGGAGGAATCAGGGTTGGTTTCCAATCCAGCAGAAGTGATTGAGGCAAGGAAGAACCTTTGCATCACTATGTCTGATCAAGTTCCCATTTGGGGCAAAGCTGTGAGTCAGAAGATCATTTTTGCAGAGCATGAGCTGGCAGGATGCAGGTACCAAGATGCAAAGAATTTCAGCGAGATCAGGGAGGAGATGGCAGCAGTTCAAGCAAAAGTGAAAAACAATGCAGCGCAGATCATCACAGCTTGTGAAGATGTAGGCTTTAAAAAAATTGCAGGCATGAGGACAATGTCAGCAAACAGCTATGATGAGAAGTACAGGCTGACATATGAAGCCAGACAGAAGATTTACAACATTGTTGGTGAAGGTCCCTTGACAGGGCAAGTTGCCAAAGGCTTGCTTGTCTTTGGAGGACAGCATGCAAGATTGAGCAATGTAGATGAGCATTGCAAGTGGATAGAGACAGAGGAGTTCCTGATTGGAGACAATCAGGTGAAGCATGAGGCAGGCCAAGTCTGCAAAGTCATGAAGCCCTTTGTGAAGCTCAGGAATGAGTTTCCAGACCTCTTTGAGAAGATCTCCATCATGACCCAGCCAGCAAGCAACTGTGATGGAGTGTTGATGAAGTGGATTGCAATGGAGCAAGCCATGCAGGAGCCAGCAGGAATAGCAATCAAAGACTCATTTGCTGCAAATTTTGCAGCTGAGACAGCACAGGCAGAGCACATTTGCAACATAGCATCAGCTCACATCTTAGGCCACATGACTGCCCAGTTGCAAGTCACAGACACAGACTTTGCACGAGCTTTTAAGCACAAGTTCAAGCATGAGTTGGATGCTATGAGGAGGGATTACAAGAAGGAGAAAGGCAATGAGAAGGGATTCAGCATTGGCCATGAGCAAATCATCAAAGCAGCAGTATCCAGCCAAGACTACATGGAGGAACTGAATGAGAAGAACAATTGGGTGGTGGAGGCAGCCATCAGAAATGGTTTAGTGGCATACAGGTGCAGCCCATCAGGTGAGTTGAAGAAGATCACAGATGAGGAGTGGGCATGCAAGATGGGAACCAAGAGGATCCCATCAGACTGGCTGGAGCCAAGGTACTCATGGCTGCAGGATGGAGTTCCATCAATACCAGATTTCAGCCTGAGTCGAGATGCATCATGCATCACAGACCTCATCAGCTGGAGCTATGATCATCCAGTTCAGGCCGGAGAGGAGGAAGAGCATCAAGTCCCAGCAGGAGATGAGAAGGAACATGCAGAGAAGGAGCATGAAAGCAAGCATGAGATGGAGGCAGCAAAGGAGAAGTCAGAACTTGATTTCACAGACATCAGTGATGAGCTCCTTCTGCCATGCAACAACAGCTTGTTTTTTCATTGAGCCCTTCATTGAGAAGAGACTTCTATAGAAGGAATCTGTTGGATGAGACATTTGGCAGCCTTGTGCTTAAGAATGCAAAGGTCAGAGAAGATATGAAAAAGAGAAATTTAGTGAGATCAGCTGCAAGGAGATGGTTGAGCAAGAAGCTGCTGTCCTCCATGAGCAAGGAAGAAGCATTAGGCCAAATCAAGGCCAGAAGCAACAAAAAGAAAAGGATTGGCAAGAGACTGTTGAAGAAGAGCATCAAAGAAAAACCATCAGCAAAGACAAAAGCGAGTTTGAAGAATAAACCACCAGCAAAGGCCAAGCTTGTGAAGAAGAACAGCATGAAGAAAGTTGGTGATGGAGTTGGTAAAAAGCTTCTGGCCAGCATGAAGAAAGAAATGCAGCTTACAGAGCATGCAGGTGAAGAGAAGCCACCATTGCCACCACCATCAGAACATCCTTTGATGGGCCTAGAGGTCAGAATCACAGATGAGCAGGCTGGGCCCAAATCTTTTGGAAAGACAGGGACATTGAGCAGCATCAATGAGCACAAGGCCACTGTCTTCACAGCCAGTGGCACCATCAGCTGTGCCACAAACCACATTGAGGAAGAAAGAGCAGAGTGGAAGAAGCCAGTGCAACATAAGAACTTCAACTCCTTGAGCAGAGCAGTGATGCAGAAGATTTTGGAAGTCATGGCTTGTTTCCCTCAGCCCTTTGTCGAGTACTCATTGCAGTTGCAGCCCATTGAAGCAGATGGGTATCTAGAAGATGAGCATTTAGTTGCAGCTTGGGAGTGGATGAGATACAGCTTGAAGATTCCCTATGAGGTTCAGATGCTGGATCCAGCTTTGGTAGCCAGATTGAGCACCAATTTGACCAGTGAGGATGAGGAGACATTTCAGCATCTCCAGGCAAGCATTTTGAGTTTTGCATCAGGTGTGGAGATCCTCCTTTGCCCAATCCAGGGCCACAGTCCTGCACATTGGACATTGCTTGTGAAGGATTCATCAGGCTGGAGATACTATGAGACTTTGAGCAGCTTGCACAAAGAGTGCCATCAGAGAGCAGTTGCTTTGATCAGCTTGTTTGATTCAGTGGAGAAAGATCAAGTCCAGCTCCAGCGATGCAATCACATCAAGCAAAAAAATGCAGATTGTGGCCTTTTTGTCATTGCTTACATGGAGCAGGAGGCATGCAGAAGCACATCAGGTCCAGCCAGCAGAGGCTGGCCAGACCACCTGCAGAGTGATTGGAAGATCAAGGTGCAGAAGCTTCAGAAGGCATTGCAGACAGAGTTTGATAAGCTGATGAAGGCCAAGCATGAGGCTGAGAAACAAGCAGCATCTTTGAAAAAAAAGCAGGAAGATGCACATACCAAAGCATCAGAGAGACTGAAGAAGTTGAAAGATCACAAAAGTGCAGCAGCATTAGATGCCATAGCCAACATGACAAAGAATTCCCAGTTTTTCAGAGTCAAGGATTTATCAGACCATGCAGTTTATCAGATTCAGCGTGCAGATGAGAAGCTGACATTATGTGGAAGCTGCAGGTATCAAACTGGTTGCTTGAGGTGTGATGCAGCCAAAGCCCTCAGCTACCACATCAGAAATGAAGCTCAGAAGGCCAATAAAGTGCCAAAGTGGGAAGGACCAGGGCTGAAGGGGATGGTGCGTTTTTTCTGCATGTTTTTTTCTGAATTTTTGGTGCTAGGAGGGATGTTGTTGGTTGTGGTGGTGGTGGTGGTGGTGGTGGTGCTGCAGCTGCTGCTGCTGCTGCTTGCTCAAGTGGAAGCATCAGGAGAAGAGAAGGAAGAGGACTAAATCAGAAGCAGCATATAGGATAAGCACCCAGGTGACACATGAAAGCCACCTCAAATAAAGCATGGACATTTTTTGTTCAGCCCCATCTGGGCAAATCTGGGTTTATGGACATTTTTTTCAGCCCCATCTGGGCAAATCTGGCCAACCTGGGTTTATGGTCATTTTTTTCAGCCCCATCTGGGCAAATCTGGAGAAATCTGGGTTTATGGACAATTTTTTTTCAGCCCCATCTGGGCAAATCTGGGTTTAGGGCCAAAAAATTTTAGCATTATTTAGGGGGCATTTATTATTTATTTTGGGAAAATTTAGCATTATTCAGGGGGCATTGATAAATCAGAACTCAACATTACACTTACAGTTTCTGGCATGGTGAGAGCTGTTGTAGCAGAAATTGAAGGCGATGAATCTGCACAGATGATTTTGCTGGATTCTGGAGCTGATTACAGCGTTTTTCCATCGAGCTTGATTGAGGCTGGATCCCCTGTGGCAGGTCAAACTGCCAAACTATGTGATGCCCAAGGCAGAGACATTCCAGTGGAAGGCACCAGATGCGTTGAAATCAGGCTTGGAACAACTTCAGGTAAAACCATGATCCTGAAGGAGAAGGTTGCAATTTCCTCGAAAGTGAATCAACCGATACTCTGCTATGGGAGATTGATGGAGCAAGGTTTTGGAATCAATGCAACTGAACAGTCTCTGGTTCACCATGGGTCAAATACAAGCGTGCCCATCCACATGCAGAACAGAAGTATGGCAATTGTTGGACAAGTGCGCATGATTTCTGCAGTTGATGGAGGTGTGGTTCCATGTGCAGTACGTGCAATCAGTGCAGAGGTCAATGAAGATTTGGTCAACAGTTCAGTTGGTTGGACAGTCAATACAGCTGGCTACATTGTGGGACGACACATGACTGACTCTTTCCAGGATCCTACGTTGGCCTTTCCAGCTCTTCAAGGTCCACAACACAGGACAACACTGGTGAAGGGTGACAATGGAAAGTGGCAAATCCTGGAGTTGAATGAACCCCTCAGGTTGTTGGTCAGTCTTGATGCCAAGTTCCACGACTTGCAGGGCAATCGAAGTACCATCACATTGGTTACACCTGGAGAGAAAGATCCATACATGATGGGTTTCAAGTTTGAAGAGGATGGCCCCATGGAGCTTCAGGCAGAACATCGTGATGATGATGGTGAAAACGTTTTACTTGCGCCAGAGGACGATGTCCAAGTTGTTGGTGATGTGTCAACCTGCTGATGTTCCAGCTCAAGAAGTTGGAGGTGGCAGAATTGTGGTTCAGCCCCAACGTGATGATCAGATTGAAGTGAATGGTGAAACCCTCACTGCTGAGAGTTCTCTTGCAAACCTTCGAGCAGCGTGCAGAACTTATGGAATTTCAACCTCAGGGAGAACAAGCAAGGTCTTCAGAAAGTTAGTTGAACACCAGAAGGGTTTGCAAATGGAAGCAGTTTTTCATGCCTCAAGAGATGCACTGGACTCTGAGGTCAGGATACCGAGGGCACTGAAATTGGCAGAACCACCAGATGAATCAGTTCAAGCGCAACACAGACTCACGCATTTGCCATATCAGCCTTGGTGTGCAGCTTGTGTCAGTCACCGTGCACGAGCTGACAAGCACCACAGAGATGGGTCATCGATGGAAGGCAGTGTTCCTGTAGTGTCGTTTGACTTTTTCTACACAAAGGCTGGTGATGAAGCAGTCAAAGATGAGGACACGTTGGTTGCAATGATCATGGTTGGCAACAAGAGTGGCTATTTGGGTGTGGTGCCGCTGAACTCCAAGGCACAGTTTGACTTGCTTACAAAGGAGCTGGTGGCATTTTGCGCTTTGCTTGGTTACAATGAGGTGGAACTGCGTTCAGACAATGAACCAACGATCGTGCAGGTGGCCAAGTTGACTCAAAAGGCCAGACAGCAAATGGGTCTCATCACCCACATGTCAACACCAGCTGCCTACACCCATGGAAATGGCCTAGCAGAAAACGCTTTGAGCAGAGTCAGAGGTGTAGCATGTTCTTTGATGTTCAACGTGATGGACAAGCTCAAGGTGACTTTTGGCACAAGTCATGCTTTGTGGACTTGGGCCATGCGACATGCGGCTTTGCTGATGAACAGGTACAGCCCATACAAAGGCCTTACAAGCTACGAGATTGTCTTTGGAAAGCCATATGATGGCCAAATCTGCGAGTTTTCAGAGCCGGTTTTTGGCTTCTCAAAGTCCCACATGAAGGGCAATGCAAAGTGGCATCGTATGATTTTTCTGGGAAAAGTTGAATGCCAGGACAGTTTCTTGCTCTACGATGGAAGCCCTTTGGTGCTTACAAGGTCTGTCAGGAGGGTGAACACAGATTGGAGGATGTACATGAAATTTCATTTGCAGTTCAACTTGTTTTCCTGGCAGTACAAAGTGGGGTTTGGTGGCCGTGTTGTGCCTACAAAACGTCGTGTTGCAGGGCCACGTGCAGTCAGCTTTGCAGCCCCACAAGGCCCTACAGTGCCAAGTGCGTTGGTGGATGAGGATGCTGAAGCTGTCAAACAAAAGGCAGCTGAAGAGAAGAAAGAGGAGGCAGAGACATCTGCCATGGCTGGCCATGACAAGCCGACCCATGTCAGTCGTGATGTGGAATTTGCAGATGAGACGGTTTTCAATGAGGACATGGCCAAGCATCCAGCACCATCAACTCCAGCACCTGAACTTCCAGCAGTGGCAATGGGCTCAACAGATACTGCAATGCCTGATGATCCAGGTTTGGCAGCACCAGTGACTCCAGTTGATGTTACAAACATTGGTGGAACTATGAGCCCCAGGCACGTGTCAACAACCAGAGCACACGAGCGTGAAACTGAGGAGGAGCTGAATGCAAAGAAAGCACGAGTGGCCGACAGCAAGAAGCAGAGAACCAATGCAATCACTTCTCAACATGCTCAGATGATCAGAATGGTCAAATTTGGAACTGAAGAATACTACACCATGGACAGCTACGACAGTGACTTGAAGCAAGATGAGTTCCACGACGATGACAATGATCTCTGGGCAGGTGAGGAAGAAGTTTTGGTTGCAGGCGTTCCAGAAGCGCTTTGGCATGACAGCAGTCTGGATGAGCCACCACCGACTCCAGAACAATGGGTGGAGGACTTAGCTGACAAGGTTGAGATTTCACGACTGCTGGACATGGGTGTTCTCAAGCGCTTTACAGACTATGATGGTGAAATCAGTGGGCGCCTTACAACACGTTTTGTCAGAGATTGGAGGCAGAAACTTTACATTGGTGAAGGAGATTCTCGAATGCGTTGGATGAGGAGAAGCAGGTACGTGGCAAGAGAATTTGCCAATGAGAAAAGAGATGATGTTTTTGCCCCGGCAACAGGAGCTCACTCGAACAACTTGCTTTTGGCCAGTTTTCTTCAGATGGCTGACGCTGCAAAGGATGGATGTGTTTCTTACAAACCCTTGCTGGCTTCAATGGACATCGGTGATGCGTTTCTGCAGGTTGACCAAGAGCACCCAGTCAAATGTGAACTACAGGGATGCGAGTATGTCATCCTCAAGAACCTTCCTGGACAAAGACTGGGAGCGCGATCTTGGTACTGGTACTTCAGAAACTACTTGGAGGAAAAGTTTCAGTACGAGTTTTGCGATGTTCAGCCGTGCTTGGGTAGAACAAAGGATTCAGTGATTCTCATCCATGTGGACGACATCCTTTACACTGGCAGTGCAGAATTCTTTGAGAAACAACTTTTACCAGTTTGCCAAGAACGTTTCTCTGTCAAATGGAGTGCACTGCAAGAGCATGGCAGTACGATCACGTTCCTGAAGAAAAAGATATCTCTGGTTACAAATGGCCTCATGGTAGTCCCTGGTACACAAGTTCACAAGGTGGTTGAAGTCTTCGAGAACCATTTTGGTGCAGTGCGTGGACAGCTGAGTCCGTGTGATGCCTCAATCCAACTTGAGGACGTATCAGCTGAACTGACTTCAACAGATGCTGCAGTTTTCAGAAGGGTTGTGGGTATGTGCTTGTATTTGAGTCGGGATCGCCCTGGCATCATTTTTCCCGTCAAAGAAGTTTCAGGCAAGATGTCACGTCCAACTTTGACAAGCCTTCAACATTTGAGGAAGTTGATTGGCTATCTCAAGAAGATGGGCGACCTGGGAATTTTGCTGCAGTACCCTCAGCCAGGAGTTGGAAAATGGCGCACTTCAACAGAGAAGTACTGGATTTTGGAATCCTACAGTGATGCTGACTGAGCATCGAACAAAGCCCATCGGAAATCCACAAGCTGTGGAGTTCATCTTCTCAATGGGTGCTTCCTATTTGCATCATCGAGAACCCAGAGGGATTTCCTTGTCTTCCTGCGAGTCCGAATTGTACAGCATCGTGTCGACCATGAGCGATGCAATATTCATCAGGCGCTGCTTGGAGTTTGTGTTGGGAGTCGAAATCTCTCAGGTTCACTTTACAGATAGCAGCAGTGCACGACAGCTTTGCAATCGGCAGGGAGTGGGCAAGGTGAGACATTTGTCTGGAAAATTGCTTTGGGTTCAAACTCAGGTGCAAAATGGCTCAGTTGAGATGGTCCAGATGCCGACGGCTTACAATGTTGGTGACATAGGTACCAAAAGCCTGGCAGAAAAAAACTTTTCGCTTTGATGTCTGAACTTGGGATGGTTTCTGCAGAAAATGGTCAACCAATTGGCCAGGAGGAGCTTGAAGCACTACGTGAAAGCCATAGCAATTCACGTGATGTCACAAAACTGGCAAAGACGATTTTCAGGTTAGCAACAGTTTTGGGCCTTGGGCCAACTAGTTCAGCTGCACAAGGCCAATGTGAGAGCCACAATGTCAATAGCAATGACAATGAAACATTGTGGATTTGGTTTTCAATCTTTTTGCTGGCAGTGGCATGGATTGGTTTTGCGGTGGCTTGTTACAAGCTTTGTGTGAGAATGGACCAAAGGATGCAGCACAATGAGCTTCAGC